GGCTCTCTACCAACTGAGCTACATCCACAACTCCAGACATTTCCCCCACCAGATATTTCCATCTAAATTTAGCTGAATCCCTGAATGCAGAACCCATGGGCACAGACAGTTAATTATACCAAATTACTATGAATGGCTGACTAGAATCTTCATGACTGAAAAGATTTGGAATGTTAAGAAGTGCAGCAAACTTTTTCTCCTTAAAACAAAGAGTGTCTGGGAAAAAAAATATAGTACCCCACTCCCAGAACAAACCTTGAACACTAATGACTGTACTTCTGTTTTCCATCTATCAGAAATGCCCTTTCACGGTCAACCATGGTGACTTTCTTCCAGATCTAGCTAAAAGGGTACATTTATTTGTCTCTAATCCGAGAATAACTACTTCCTTTTCACACTGAAATATGAACTGTGGTATATAACTTAAGTAAATTATGACCAAACAATAAGTATCTGTCTCCATGGTTTTAATAAAAGCTTAAAGTCAAGCTGACCCCGGGGACTCAGACCTGTAATCTCAGCTACTTGGAAGACTAAGGAGGATTGACTGCAAGGTCCAATATCTGCCTGCTTTACAGTGAGTTCAAGGTCAACCTGAGTAACTTAGACGGACAATGCATTAGACTTAAAACTGAAAAACAGAGATGGTATGCATGGTGGAACAAGCCTGTACCCAACTCTTGGGAGGCAGAGGCAGAGTTCAAGGTCATCCCCAGGCACAAGAGAGTTTGAGGCTAGCCAGTCAGGGCTATCTAAGACCCTGTCTCAAAACCAAACCAAACCAAAATAAACAAATAAATAAAAGGTCTAGACCAGCATGGTGGCATAGCCTTCAATCCCAGCACCCAGGAGACAAAGGTAGTTGGATCTCTGTTCAAGGCCATTCTGGTCTACATAGAGAGTTCCACAACAGCCAAAGCTACATAGTGAGACCCTGTCTCAAAAAAGAAAAAGGAAAAAAATTAAAAAAAAAAAAAAAAAAAGAAAAGAAAAGAAAGAAGGTCTGGGATAGCTCAACACCTGCCTAGCATATACAAAATTCAATTCTTGATTTAAAAACAAAACAAACAAATGAAAACCAGGGAGAGAGTCCCACCTTCCATTGCCTTAGTCTCCTCCCTAGCTCCTATGACAGAGCTTAGGAAAGGGTTGAGTAAGAAAAGATGCTAAGAAACCAACAGCAAGTCATACCCCAGAACAGGGAATGCAAAATCCTCCTTTGGCAAATTCTCTTTAAGTGCTAGAGGTACTTCCATCTCAGCCACTGATGAAAAGAAACAAGCATTGTTCTCTGAGAAGCCTTGCTTCCAAGACAGAGCTAATCTCTCTACAGCATTCAACTTATCAGATAACCTTCACGCCAGCAATATTCCTATGACTGTTTCTAGGTACTTGTGATCTTGTGAAATGTCAATCTTTTTTTCATTTCCTACCAATCACAATTTTTCTAATTCAATCTTTTCTTGCATCTGCTTACTGTGTGTTATTTCCTGTATTTCATCCAGTTTTAACCTACATAAGTTATTTTTGCTCCCATTTTAAAACCCTCAAAATATTAAAAGTAGACAGTACAATTCTTCTCTTAGGCAGGAATGTTTCATTCATAGCCATCTAATTTATTTATTTGTACTATTCTAAAATCAGTTTGAGTGAAATATCAAAGTAGGCTGCACATAATCATGTCAAAATGCCAGAAACCCACTTTCAATTTCCATTCTACCTGAATCTGTCTCCACATGTGAGTTTAATTAAAATTCATTACCTGATGTGCCAGACATTGTGCTAGGTCCTATGGATACACAGATAATAAACAAGGGGCATGGCTTCGTGGCAAAGAGAAGAGCTACTTACATTTAGAGTGTACTGTGTGTGATAAGTGCTATAGCCACAGAAGGCCAGACTAGAGTGTTCCACCTCAGGAGATTCGGTGCTGCTGACTCAGCCAGTGAGCTGAAGTCTATGATTTCCCTCAACCCCCAAGAGTCAAATAATCCAAACACCTTTGCATTAGCTTAACTCATACAGCACTGTGTGAAATCATTCTGGTCTGAAGTGATGTTGTGACCCAGAATTGTAAATTACTCGATAACAGAAATGAAGCATAACTTTGCATAAGCATCTGAGCATAGCCTTTACCCTCCATTACCCACCCTTTTCCTGGGTTTCCTCCATGTCTACATGCATAGGCAGACTCTTTTGTTGCTGAATTAGTAACGACCAAGTGTCTTACCTTCTTGTCTCATTAACTGTGTTTAAATTCTGTCACTACTTATTTTTAACCACCACCATCTAAAAACAAACAAACAAACAAGCAAAAAACAGTATCCTCACCCCCGCAAAAAACCCACCTTGCTCTCAAAAGGACATTTATACGAGCAAAACAACTCTGAATCACAAACCCACTGATGTCTTACACAAATCCTGTCCCCATACTGAAGATGCACCTATTACCAACATTCAGGGATAGGCTTCTGTGTGCCATTTTTATCCCAGAGCCTCTAGAACTCATATTCTCCTACCCTTCTACCTGACCAGTTCTTAGCAAAATTCATCTAGATTTCTTATCCCTCACAAATCCTTGTTCCAGACTGAGGCTATAATACAAACAAAACTGATTATACCTCCATTGCCTCAGTGGGATAATATGGAGACAAGCCGGCCCTCCAAAATTGGATGGCATGCTTCAAGAAAGCTTTGCACTACCCTGAAATGGTATTCTTGGGCAAACTTCTCAGTTCTCCATTATGAGAGAAATACAAATCAGACCACCTATTTGTCTTCAATACCACAGCGATGAAAAGCCCTTTCCCAGGTGAAGGAATACAATGAACAGAGCAGATCCTACCATGCTCTATTGAGAAGCTAAACCTGTATTCATCTCTACATTCTAAACAGGGCTTTCCAGAGTTCTGCTGGGTCTTAGCCGTAGTGCAGTTTGGGAGTAGGTGCTGTAACACTCCCCTGGTCCCTTCTCCACGAGGGCCATTCTATTCCTAGTTCCCTGTTGGGAGGTGTTTGGAGCTGCTATAAACATCTTTTCAGAGTCAAGTAAAATGTTACTTTCTCTAGACACACTAAGTTTTTGTTTGTTTGGCTGGTTTTTAATTTTATCATCCATCTGTCTGTCTGTCTATTGGTGTTTTTTGAGACAGGATTTACCCATGTAACCTGGAATTTGCTTTGTCAACCAGGCTGCCTCAAACTCAGAGATCCACCTGCCTCTGCCTCCTGAGTGCAGGGGTTAAAGGTGCGTGCCACCGTCGCCCAGCTTAACACACTAATTTTTAGCTACCTAAAAGCCCCTTGTTCTTGAGTGGACATATTATTTTATCTAGCTTTTTATTTGCTGATAAATCAATTCTAAACTTTAGGGGCCAAAACCTTTAGAAGCAACCATATGAAACAGCCAGAGAAGGCCTCTGAAACAATCTCTCCAAGAAAGAGGCAAAACTATTTTGAGTTCTGGGGGTCCTCCCAGGAAGAACGTTACCTGCTGTCACTACTTCTACATTAGTTCTGACACGTGACTTCAAAGTTCTTAAGAACATGCTCGCCATCCCCACGCCACACCTACCCGCCCATCTCCAGCCATACAAAACCCAGGGGAAGGCAACAACTACCAGCACTTTCGAGGCTCTCCCCTGGGAGCTATCTCAGCAGAGTCCCCTGGGCCCCACCAGGCCTTCGGAACATCACCAGCAGAGGCTAAGTGGCAAGAAACCACTCATTCCTCAGCAAACAGCCTGGGTCTTCATGCGCTGGGCTGCTCTGGGTGGAGCAAGTTCTTTCTCGGAAGTCTGTTCTCAAGCACTCTTTACTCTAGGACTGGGTTAGACCAAGCCCTCGAATTTCAGCCCTTTCCACCAGCTTCTCACCCATACCTCAGTCCAGTGCCAATAAAAACTGTAATCTCACTGGCTAGTGAAAACTTACTAAGCGAAGCACACGCTCCTAATAGCTCCAAATTCCAAACTGCTCTAAGCCTGAAAGAAAAGGAACCTGACAGTCTTTCCAACTCTGTAAAGCTAATCTGGAGGACGAATCAACTGTTAAATGATAGTGCAATCATTGAGTAAATGACTCAAAGAAGTCATTAAAAGCAGACTGAAAAAAAAAAACTACCCCCCACCCCACCAAAAAAGAAACCTAAGAAAGAAATACAGCTATAATTGATGCTGCATTCTCATGATGGGGCTCTTGAAAAAGTAATACCTCCATCAAGCATGACTTATATTTTTGGTTGTGAGCCCAGCCTTTAATGGCTGAGCCATCTCTCCAGCCCCAAGCATGACTTATAACAGGTGATTTCTTACATATATTGCAGTAACTGAAGAAAAGCCTGTCAGGCTAAATCTCCCTACATCCACAGAACACAATAAAACCTTGTCAAATCACTAAACGCATCAAAAAAAAAATCCTACTAATAATTCTCAATCTTCTGCCTCAAGTCATTAAATGGATATGCAGAAACAGCTAACCAAGGTTACTCGAGGGTGTCAGAGCCAAGAGTCAAACGTCCAGTCTTTGGACTGAAAGTTCACTGTTATTTGTGTTTTTTCTAGTTCTTTAGACCTAAGCTAAATGTCATCATTGACATCATCCCAGAAGCCAAACTTCTACCCTATCAAATTGGCACGATCAGTTATTACTCAGTCAGTATTCCAGACCTCTCTTTCCTCTGCCCTATCCTAGATCCTAGCACTGACGATCCCTGCTTTCCGAGCATGCACCTTAAATTATGAGAATGCTTTTACACCAAAAATAAGTGCAAAGCTTTGCATAACAACTGCCCCAAAAGAGAACTGGCTGTCCTCCAAGACTCGAGGAGGTGGCCATGCTGGCTAACGGGCCGAGGAGGCTCTTTTCTCACGACCACGTGGGAAACGCGGACCTCCTAAAGATCCCGGAGGGGGCCGCACTGTGCCGGGGTCATAGAGGACCTGGTCACCCAGGTGTGACACCCAAATCCCCGGCCACCCATCCGCGCCCGCGGGTCTCACCTTGAGCGTCTCGTAGGCGGTCGCCACCAGCAGGAAAGCCTCGGCGCTCGGCGGCGCGCCCCCGGGGCCATCGCCCGGCTCGGGCCGGTAGCGGTCGGGGTGGTAGCGCCGGGCCAGC